AAAATTTTTTTTTTTAAAGAATTATCCTTTAAAACAGTTGTTTTTTTTTTTATAACATAAAACAAATGCCTTTTAAGTACTGACAAACAAACAGCTTCTACGTCCCCCAGCCTGAGGCACATGCACGTTACCCCACTTGGCATTTTGGTGGGTTTAAAGTTGATATTAAAGCGCCTCGATGAACGAGGCAAAAGACAAAGAAATCAGCAGTATATATCTCGCCGGCCCAATCAAATGAATTCGATCCCGGAGAAAAGGGGTTCGATAAGGTTGCGCTGCTGTGAGGCAATTTATCACTGTTCAGTCTCAAGGAGATAAGCACAAAATGTCTTCTAACGGGGACCTACCGATCCACGTGGTAAACACAAGGAGTAAAACTTAACGGCAACGGTGAGGAATAGGGATAGGCCCGTCAAATGGAATCGTACACATGGTCACATTTTTTATATTTTAATCACGTCAAGCAAAAAGCTATTTGTCACACAGTTCATATGCATAAAAAGTAGCAGTGACCATTACCTATTTGAGCAGTGCTAGGGGCACTCGCTTTTTGCACTCTCCGACCAGCACTTCCCCTTTCATTGGGCCACGTAAGCTTCTTTAAAAGCTTTCAGCGCAACCTCTCTCCACCAAAATAACGTGGCCCAATAAAATAGAAAGTGTTGGCCGCAGAGTGCAAGAGGCGAGTGCCCCTAGCATTGCTCTTACCTATTTTCAAAAAAAAAGTAACAGTAATTATTTTTTTGACAAGAGTAATAGTTAAGAAATTAATATGAGTTAGTTGTTAACAATTGAGATTCCCAGATTGATGAACATTTTACCCCTCAAATGAAGCTTACGACCATTAAATCAATTTTTGATGGAGTTCACGATAATGGTAAAATTTAAAACCCTGATTATTGCTTCACCCAAACCCTAAGATTTGGACCAACCATTAGCCCCAAGCCCGGTTCGCAAAAGTAGCAGTGATGTGAGTATGTGGCAGAGCAAAGATGTTTTCCGAGACCCACTGATCCACGTAGTAATAGACTGAGACCTAGAACTTCAACCCAACGGCAAGGGTAGTCTCGTCAAATGGAATTGTCCATACCGACGCGTTTTTAAATTTTAAGTCTAAGTAAAGTGGAAAGCCATTAGTCACTGTTGATGTTTAAAAATCAAGTAATAATTTTATCTTAAGTTTTTAAATTTATTTTTAAATTTTAATTAAATTTTTAGATTTTTATTAAAATATATAAACCTTTAAATTTATTGATTTACATAATTTAATTTTTTTATAATGAACATAATATTTATTTATGTATTATTTATATAAATAAAATTAATACTCATTATATAAATAACATTATGATAATATTTTAT